TTTTCTCCTGTTATGTCCATTCCTCTGTCCATAAACGTATGAAAAGCAGGTACAACAATGATCGGATGGCCTATACTTTAGATTGTAGCAGAGAAAACAATAGTGTACTTATTACCAAGCAACTGCCGACGCCCATCCACATCCACGACCACCCCCGCATCATGAAATTTAGCGCGAGGATTGATGCGGGTGCTAGCAAGCAGTGTCAGCCTAGTAAAAAAATAAATTCAGGGCAGCCTGATGGCCAAGTAGTTGGGTGCATATCATATACGCATAATGAGCCTGAGCAAGCTAGTCCCCAGTTTGACTCTTGGCCGGAACTCTCAAAATATAACTTTATTGTGTTTGTGTGGTAAAAGGGGGAGAGATGGTCGAGGAGGACTTAGCATCAAAACCAGGTGAAAAGACGTTAACATCCATTAAACACAGACATCCACTGCTGGTGCTCTCCGAAGAACATCAGCAGTCCCTCCCTCTATGTACTCCCACAGATGGCCCCAGCAAAGTTGTTACTTCTTCCACAACAAGTTGGCAAGACGCCTGCAAATAAGAAAGTGATCTGGGCCAGGGAGCGGGCTAAGAGGTATAATCCATTTCAAGTCTGTTTTTCTTTCACTCTGAGACACACACTCGTGCCAGTCAGACGCTATAATAAACAGTCTTCTCATGACTTGGCAAGGTCGGTCCAGACATTGGGCCTCATTCATGAAAGATTGCACATATCTGATCTTAACTTATGTACATGCACACAACAACAACTAAAGACAACACCTACAATATTTTCTAACCATGAACATGTGTATGAAGAAAACAAAATGCATGTGGGTCTGCTTGTACAATTGATTTGTAGAAATCCTATTTGTGTGTGTGAAAGATGTTGAAGTCATGAGATAAGAAATAAAACACTATGAACACACGCAGATCAAATAGGGGCATACAGTCTGACATCAGACAGGCTGGAGAACGAGATGTTGACAGAAGAAAGCACAGTAAATAGTCACCTATTTTGCAGGGTTATGTATATTTTCTAACTATACATACACACTAGCAACTCATTTCACCTCTATGTAATTAAGTTCTTGCATTTGTGTTGTTCTTATTTAACTTCTTAATTTATATCAGGCTGCCTATTAAAACTGGATCCAAGAACCAGTTGAAAATGAGTAAATGAGTAAAAACCTGTGTTTCAATGAACGCTCAAATCTTAGACAGTTTTTCATTAGTTTTCAAAGTGAAGGGCATTTTGGGGGAACAGCTTATCAAGTTTATCAGAAAATACAGTGCATCAGAAATAGACCTTATCAGAGCTTGCAGAGGCTCCTACTGTGTGTTTCTACCTTTTTCATCTTCATCTGCCATGGGATTCTATAGCAGCCCAAGAACCGTGTGGTTAAAAAGTTTTAAAATTTGGCACACTGACGGAGACACCCTCATGATGCTGTTTTACCAAGTTTGTCTGTGCGCGAGTTCTCTAGGGGCACCAACAGGGTCAAAGTTGGAGGTGGGTTATATGAAACTTGCCCAATTTTCAAAAAACTGAGGGACCATTGGATTCTTGGATCAAGCCGAGTTCATTTCCACCATATTGGATTTTCTGCCACTTTGGTTTTTATGTAAAAGTATTTATTCGTTACTCCTCTGACAAACTGTGTCCAATGAGTGAGGTCACATCTCAGCAATCTTTCATAATTAACTAGAATTACTGCCTCGCGGTGAATCCCTCGCTTCTCAGACAAGTTTCAGGTTACATCCCCGTTTATCCAGAGTCATAGAAAATTGACACATTTGTGTGAAATTTTGTCATAATTGTGTGTGAAGTCTTGAGTATTGGCTAAAAAGTGTTTGTGAGGTCACACTGACCTTGACCTTTGACCTATGATCACCAAAATATAACAGTTTCGTCCTTGAGTCCAAGTAAATGATCGTGCCAAATTTGAAGAAGTTCCGTCAAGGTGTTACCAAGTAATCATGTCCACAACAATGGACGACAATATTCCTCTGGTTCTGGCTGTCGACGGCTTGGAGGAACTAAACTTTGTATATGGACTCAGGACCCAATCAGGAAGTAGCTCAAGAAATCTTGGTGCCCTTTCACTTTTAGGGGGCACCCAGGGAGCATTTTTCTTAAAACTGTTGACGCATTTGCCATAAGATCCATGGTTTGAGACATGGCAACTTGTCATGTCAAACTTAATTGATGTGGCTGCTACTATGGACTCATGGCGTTTTTGCTACTTTTCGGACAAATCTTCAATAAGTTGGCACAGATATATTCAGACCAAGCCTTGCAAAAACTTAATCATATGGATATTTGATTTTCCAAAGTGTTCGTCCATCACAGCCGATCAAAAATGGCACCAAGCCGCCAAACAGAAGTGAGGTCAGATTAAAAATCTGGTGCCCTTTGACCTCTTGGAGGCGCCGGCAATAAGATAAGTTTTGGCCTCGTAACTGTAATGTGTTTGCCTTAAAATCAAAATTCCAGAGTCTGATCTATGACCAACACTGATTCAGATGCTTTCTTCAACCAACTTGACAAAAAGTCTTTGTTGGCTTTGGATTTGCAGAAGTGTCGTGCCATCAGACCAATCACAAATTGGCAGCAAAGCTGCAAAACCTTAATTAACTGACATGAAACTTGCTGTGAGTGCTGACAACCATGCCCTTGACATAATAACTTATCATGTTTCCATGGCAACTCTGGCCGGCTGGGCTGCTTGGGCCCCCCACATTGCTTGCTTGCAGCTGTATTTTAACATGTTATGTTGCAGCCTTAAAATCAAAAAGAAGAAATTTGCCTCATCAATCTAGACTCAATTCCCTATAATGCACAAAGAGAAAACTGAATTTTTGAATTTAAAATGTTTTACTGACCAAACCTAACCAAATGTAGAACACGACATTAAACCCTGGTCTTTCGTATCAAAGTCCACCCCAACCACCTCTCTATGAATACACTGTAAAAAACAATGCATTGGAGACTGTTCTGTTCTAGGAGACAGGGTTGAGTTATCACACTCCATTTGATTGCAACTTGTATCTTATATGATGATGGGGCACAAGTTTGATGAGGCAAACTCTTTCCTTCCACTCAGCTGGCAGGTCAAGGCAGACACAGCTCTGGAGGACAAAATAAAATGAGAGGATATGATGGTCCTGGACAAAAAAGTTGACTGTATAAGACCAGGGGTTGGCAACGTAAGTTTAGCCTCGGGCCAATTTTTTTTCTAATCCATTAGATGCTCATGATCAAGAGAACATAATCAAGTATAATCTAATTATAATCTAATATAATCTAATTCAAGAAATTGATTGGCAAAAATGCAACTGGAATTTCCCTCCGTTACTGTTCTACATGTGAGACTGTCCCATAATGTCCACAAGCTCCTTACAGTGGACGCAATTTTACTGAATTTTTATTATGATCATTTGACTTGATTATTACATGGACATCACATTTGTATGTCGTAGCTTATTTTCTAGTCATCGATCACAGCATTTGCCCAACTAAGTTCAGCTATTAACAGTAACAAGCTTGTGTTGATACTTCTGAACAAGCAACAACAAGTATATTCACTTGACTGGAAAACTCCTGCAAAACTTTTCAGACTAAAAGCTGGTAATAGCTTGAAATAAAGCATTGCTGAAAAAAAACTCAACATGGATAAAAGTATAATAAGCATCTGGGGGGAGATTCTCTGTGTGGATATTATAACTGAATGTGGGACTGTCAATCCGATATTATAAGATAAAAAACTAGAATCACCTCCTGGTGGTTGTCTGCCTCCTCCACTCAGACTAGTTTCAGGTTACATCCTGTTTATCCAGAGTCACAGAAAATATGAACCATTTGTGTGAAGTTTGTCATAATGCTGTGAAGTCTTGAGTCATGGCTAAAAGTCTTGACCTTTTGACCACCAAATCTAATCAGTTCATCTTTGATCCAAGTGAATGTTTGTGCCAAATTTGAAGAAGTTCTGTCAAGGTGAAATATCATGTCTACGAGAATGAGAAGGACGGACGGACAACTCAAAATAATATGCCTCTGGCTGTTGTCAGCGCAGAGGCATAAAAATCTGATTATCAAATTATCTGGCCGGCCAGTTATGGCCTGTGGGTCACCAGTTGCCAATCACTGGCATAGACATTTCCCCTCCCTACATGTAACTGAAACATGAAGGGAATGCAGATGTAAAACCAGGAGATCAGGAGAAGGAACATTGAGCAGGCTGAAGTTCCACTGGCGTGTTCCACAGACACAAAATCTATTAACATTTATGACAATTAGATTCACACTCTCCTGGCAAGGCCCAAATTAAATTCTTCATTTCTATTTCCTTTATTCAATTTTCCATTTTCATGATAAACAATATTTTAGAAATTTCTATACAACGTAATGGAAAATGATGCAAGAAATATTGTTATTTATAATAATATAAATAATAAATAATAAATATTATTTTTAATTAATGTATAAAAGTAATACAGTTTAAAGAGAAGAGTGTTCAGTATCAAGTCAACCTACAACAAAAGTCTCAAAGCTGTCGTCCAGCACTAGACAGAAAATGGTCTGGGTGCTTGGAGTTCTCTGGCTGACAGCCATCACTGTGATGTGTAGACTGGAGTTGTTGCGTTGTGTGAACTTACGTTTAGTGCAGCGCTGCGACCCCTGAGCTTTACTCCATCCATGGCAGCACTGCCCTCCACAGACGTTCACCCTGCAAACAGACATCAGATGAAACATGCAGACACACAAAGATTCACAGTGACAAACACAAGGTTTGTTTGAAGATCCAAACCAAACTCACAACTTTCATTTAACAGTCTTTTACCTTTGGAAACATTTTGTTTCATCAGACTGTACAATAGATGACTGACAACATCAGCTCTGTTTGCAGCTCTTGCTGGGCTGTCACTGGTCTTTATGTCTGACGTTTACATAGCAGGCTGTTCCTGAATGCATCAGAGGTAACATTCAGGACACGTCATATTTCATCTGAGCTCTGACACCTACAGTGGTTTCAACTCGTGTCCACAGGGTTCACGGGGTTTGAGGCAAGTCACGTCATCACCTCAATGTTCCGCCGTAGTTATCTGATTTTTGGCAGCAATCTGACGGGCTCCACCAATTCTCACCGGATATTTTCCAGACTTGAACGCCGTCCCGAACACAGAGCTCATGAGATGTGGTTTGGCCTGGTGATACAGAATATGACTGGGGACACAGGAATTCTCTATGATGCTGAGGTTACTGAGGTGTAGTGTTTATTGGGGGAGGTCTGTTACCCTCTCAGAGCCAACCTCAATCTCACAGACTGAGTTTTACTACAGGAATTTGGTTTGGAAAGAGTCCACAGGGATGATTGACTCAGGCTGTTGGACGCTAGAATAACCTGGGAACTCACGACTCACATCATCATCACCATCATCATCATCATCATCATCATCATCATCATAAGTGAGAGTGGGTCAAATGGATATGAGTCACCAACTCTTGGACTTCCTGGGTTTAAGATAAAAAATGAGGCTGAATTTTGAACATGAGTGTGACGAAACCACAGGTTATTCTCCAGTTGTCACTGTGTACTTCTACTGACAGAGAGAGAGAGAGAGAGAGAGAGAGAGAGAGAGAGAGAGAGAGAGAGAGAGAGAGAGAGGAGCCCTACCATAAAAAACAACAGTGTAGGGTTTGGCCTATATTTCCTCATTTTTGTGCTGAAACTGGTGTGAGAAGTTAGAGGCCATCTAAAGGACTCAGGAATCACTGAGACCTGCTCCAAGTCAGTCAGTCAAGCCAGGCACCACTCATCACCTGCCCAGTACTTTCCAAAAGTGAAGCATGGTAGAGGCAGCATCGGGCTGTGGGGGGGGCAGGGAGACTGGTCAGGGTTGAAGGGTAGCTGAACAAAGGAAAGTACAGAGAGATACTTAATGAAAACCTGGTCCAGAGCTCAGGACCTCAGACCGAATCGAAGATTCACCTTCCAGCAGGACAATGATGCTTTATGTCATCTGTCACATTTGACAGATCATCAGAGTACGCATTGTGTTTTTGCATCATTAACTCTGTTTGAAACACTTCTTCATGCTACACTTTCATATCCCTCTACGTTTTAATCAAGGAAAAAGATTTTAGTCATTGTCAGCTGGATGCTGTCTACTGACTGCTCTACTGCTGCTAGCTTAGCTAGGTTTGTTTATTTTTCTTTTAAATTTATTTTTCGGGCTTTTTGTACCTTTATTGATAGTGCAGTAGAGAGACAGGAAATGGGGAGGCAGAGAGAGGGGGAATGACATGCAACTAAGGACTGTCCGATGCGGGACTCGAACCGGGGCCAACTGCAGCGAGGACTGTAGCCTCTACACATGGGGCGGATGCTCATCCAACTGAGCTACTCGACGCCCCGGCTAGGTTTGTTTTTAGCCTGGTTTCCAGGTTAGTTGGTCTCTTTTATTGATCTTTTAAAAAATGTATTAACTTTTGGATTTTGTTGTGTGAGAATTGTTTGCCTATCTACTTGCAGATTACTGAAAATTATTGAAGACATCCGTCGCTGACCTGAGGATTAAGGATGAATTCTTCATACGCCTCCCCACAATCACAATTGCCCAAGCAAAGCAAATTTCGTAAACTACAATGCTGTTCACGCCAGACGTGCATTTCTCTCCGCCGGTCAACAAGCGATTATGCTCCTCTGCTCCGTCTTAAACACGGGTAGAGCCGACCTTTATAAAAGGCTTTTTACGTGTGTATGGGGTCGTTGCTTCTTTGGGACAATCACCGATATAATAGTCCATCAACAAACTCCAATCTTCCATGCCACCGCAGCCAGCTCTTCTGACCATGCCTGCACAGTCTGCCTGTCACCCACAGAGACACACTGCTGCGTCCCTCCTCTGTCAGTAGACACCCGGAGGCATCCACCAAAGCTGCTATTGAGGACAGTCATACCAACTATACCCCCCTGCTTGTTGTTGGGTCATCCATGGTCAATCATGTCAGTCACACCTCCTCCTACCCAGATGCCCTTGTTAAGGACATCCGACACCTCTTCCCTCTAACTACTACATCAGCACCATTCTCTCTTGACTCCTGTGGCACCAAGGACCTTAAGATGCAACAATCAGAAGATTTTGTCTTCCTCATGGACAGTACTTTGAACACAAGCAAACATGCATAATTTCATGGCCACTGCCCCCCCCTTCGGCTATGTAAATTTTAGTCAACCAAGTAG